GTTAGATGCATGTTGTTTCCCCTTTTTTTCCTTTCTATCCGTCTTGTTTATGTGCTTACACCTTTTCCTGATCCATACCCGAAGCAAGGAACGTGCGTCCTTGATAAACTGAAGAATCAAACTACTCTTTGGATGCCGGAAGCACATGTTAATTTGTTCTCTCTTTCGAAGGCATACCGAAGACTTGCACATAGCCATAACATCTTTTGGGCCTTATAAACAACAAGCGACCGGGGCAAAAAGTCTGAAGGCTCCGGCTCCATTTTCGAGCGGGAGGTCAGTGTGCCGGATGTTTAGTCTCAGTAAACCTTCAGGCTTACTTCTTAAACGGTACACTGCTGCAACAAGTTGACAGTCAGAAGGACTTGAGTGTGTGGATTACTTCTTCACCCAACCCAACGCTGAACTACACGAAGGCGGCGAAGTCAGCCAGGTCTATATTGCAGCTCATTAGGCGAGCCTTTGTGCGGTTTAAAAAAGACACCTTTTCCAAAATATTTGGAAGCTTCGTTCGGCCGCACCTAGGATTCGCTACACAGGCATGGAGACCTTGGACTGTCAGAGATTGTACCGTCTTAGAAGGTACAAAGGCCAGCGACAAAATTGTCAAAGGTCTGGGAACACTGCCCTATGGAAGCAAATGTCACTTTTTTTCCCATTTTCTACAGGCAACTACGGGGGGATCTCATACTAACCTTCCGTATTATGAATTGCCTGAATTGTTGCTTAGTAGTTGCGTTTTTCGCCTTGTTCCTAATCCAGATGATTATTTCTGCCGCTCCGAGCTCATTCCAAAGGCTTGGTTGTAACCCGAGACAGCTGTTTTCCTCGCATTGCCAATTTATTTTCATATGTATGGTAGATGTCTCACTACCGGGATGGTCCAGAGGGGTGATACAATATAGCACAGCAAGTGGCTCACCAGTTATTTAAACATTGCCAAATTTAAAACTCAGTATTTAACCTCTGGCCATATTGGTTTCCCATAATTTTCGCCCGTTCGCTTGGCAGCCTATCAACTTGTACGCCTTCCTTCCCAGTCTGCCGAAGCGAGCAAAGTTACTTTGGCAGGGTGGAAGAGGAGAAAGGAAATAGTTCCGGTTCGTTGTGTTTCACCCACGTGTATTTCGTTTTTTAGTAAGGTTTGCAGCATTCAAAGCATGTTTCGGACACTGTTCTAGGTTCTTATCTTTTAAGGGGTTAAACCGTGCTTCCATGCATCTGACTGTTGGGACACCCGAGGCGCCAGACTTATGGGCCTAGGCCGCCTATAGGGTTGCATGTCGTCCTCTCCACAGGGCGTTTTAAAGGGGTGGGAGGGAGGAGGAGAGCGAGCTTTGATGGTATATACCTCGTATGGAGGCACCTCTGGTTCAACCCGCCAGATAAAGATGTGTGTTGGGGTGTGGCCGCTGTGCAACTGAATGCCAGCAGGGACGATGTAAAAATATCAGCCAAGTCTATCTATGCGCTTGGCGTAGGCGGAATCTCACTGAAGTGTAAATATCCATGAAGGTGTGAACGAACAGCCGCATTGTGTACCATCGGGGCATGACACTCCCCGTCCGTCCGCATATATGGCACTGCTTAGCTCACTACCACAAACTGCGTTTCTGCACAGCCCATAAAATCGACACACTTTCTGCCGGTGTCTCCTGTTGTATTTTACTGTCCTCTATCCATATGTTTGGCTTACCTAAAATCCTGTTATTGTTTCCGTAGGACGTGTGACTCACATCGTGAAGGGCTTCAACATTGATTGGAAAAATTCAATCGAGAAAATAAACGGAGAAATCATGCTTGAATTCGCAAACTTCACCCTGGGCACGCAAATCTTTCAGGTCAGTTTTTTCTGTCGGCTCTTCTTCACCCCTCTGACGGTTTACGTTTTCGGGAATATGTGAATGAGTAGTATTGATATACCTTCCTACCCTTCATTAATTTGGCTTGTTGCGTCACCTGACCGGTTCGCGTTACGGTAGCTTTAAACGTTGCCGTTTTCTTAGCCTGACGTTTCCAGATGTTTTCTGTCATTCCTTAAGTCTTCAGCTTTCACGAGACAATAGCGTTGGGAAACGCATTGAATATGCGCTGCCACTAACAGTTGCGAGTTCTTAGCAAATCTTCCATATCACTGGACACAGTTCTATATCATGATGTTCTACATAACTCATTTTCTTATCTTTTCTGCTAGGCCCTGCTTGCACAGTTGGTGCAAGTTTATAGCCGGTTTCAGAATGTCATGGCTCTACCTCCCTATAACACTATGCCGGTGCGGAATCAGCTTGTCAGTATCCATCAGATAATGAATGAAATTAAACGGTTCAAATCGACCTTCTGATCTGTTGCAAGCGGAAATCAACTTGGCTGTGAGGTTGCATACATTCCTTCTTTTTCCTCGCTACTGTATCTTGTCTTTTTGTTGCATAATTCCGTCTCCCTCCTTTGGTGCTCTTATTGTGATGAGGCCGTTCTCTCATTTACTTCTT